CCTTCTTAAGATCCAAGAGTGCAAAATGCAAATTCTTGCACTTTTTTGACTGGACTTAAGATTTTGATCAGGAGTGTATATTAACAAACACCATTCTGTCATCTTAGCAAGATCTGATACAAGGTCAATGGAAAACACAAAGACAAGTGAGATCTAAAAATGACTGTTTTTAGCAAATCTTGTTCTGACTTTAATCATTCTGTCTGCAGATGAACAGCATGTCATGAAAACAGGTCATTAAAGGATGTCATGAATTATTTGCTTAAACCTAAAAGTATTAGTTCCACCACAATGATGATGATGATGGTTGTCTCTGCAGCTGGGTTCTCCTCAGCTCGTGTTTCCTGGGGACCTGCAGTGCTCTCTGTCCTACTCTCTGGTCACCCGACTGGCTCCCAGGTGGAACAAAGCAGGACTTTACCTGGTGGCAGGTGAGTTTTAGTGATGTTTTTGCAGCAGGACTTCAGTTTGAGCCACAGCTTCAGTCTCCTTCCTTTCTGTTTCTGTTGGAGTCCAGAGGGTCTGAGTTTCCCTGACCCGGGTCAGTTTTTACTCTGATAAGGTTCAGTCTGTAACTCATCATCTGAGCTCAGACTCAGCTGGACTGCAGCAGCAACAAGAACCTCACGGACACACACAGACACACACACACACAGTCAGGTTTCATCTGTGCAGCAGCTCGTTGTGTTTCATTAGGATAGTTCTGTCTGTTGCAACACTCAGACCTTCACCTTGGACCAGATTCACTTCAGCAAATATCTGCAGCTGTTTGAATGTTAGTGCTGAAGGAAAGCCAAACATTCAACTGATTATATTTAATTTATTAAAAACTAATAAAACCAGAAAAATAGCAGCTGCTGCTCATTAATCTGTGAAGGGTCAAAGGTCATTTAGAGCAGGGGTTCAGGGTTCCCACGGGTCCTTGAAATCCTTGAAAGTTTGTGAATTTGAAAAAAATAATTTCAAGGCCCTTGAAAGTTCCTGAAAACAGCTAAAATAGCCACCTGTCCTTTGACCGCTGTCAATATGTGATTATTAATTTTATTTATAACAACTCTGGTTCTGTTGCGGTGTTAAAACCGCCCAGTCGCACCACCACTTTCAACAAATGAAACAAACCCCAGCGCACTTTTATCCAATCAGAGCGAAGCAGAGCAGGGCGGGTCAGTAAAGCAGCAGGTGAAGCAGTCTGCAGGAGCAGAGCAACGGTCAGTCCTGAGTGAAACCTCCTCCCGCATTTTGCTCCTTGGACTTTGTTTATAAAACCTAATTTTATATTAAATATTTGTGCTCAGAGCGTCGTTATCCAACAGATAAGTYCAACTTTGCGTGCATGACCAAGCTCCTCGTGCAAACGCTGCGCGACGTTCAGTTTGTCCGTCATGCTTTCACTCACCTATCACCTGCGTAATGGTGCTGTCCTACAACATTTCACTAGTAAAGTGTTCTGCCACGTGTCCTGTTTTACTACAATAACGTAAGCTCCAAATATAAACACCTCCATCGCTGGCGAGGATGTGCACGTTCTGCATGAAATACGAGCCGAGCCGAGCCGAGCCGAGCCTGGTGCGGCGCAGCACATGGTGCGAGTCAGATTCACTGTTTTGTTTGTCCCATATCAAAGCAAAGATGAGTCTCCGTTTGTTTACCTCCTCATCCTCACCTGGAGAACAGCACCATGTTCTCCAGGTGAGCGTGTTTCAAATGTTTCTGTAGTTTATCAGTTTTATTTTTCACTGCTTGTTTATAGTTAAACCACACTGTGACAGGGCTGCTCTGTGATGAATATAATTCAATAAATGATCAAATATGCAGAATAAACAGAATTAAATGATTACATGAGCTTGAACAATTTAAATAACCATTAAAATAAATCAGTCTGACTAATAAAAATGTATTCAAGTTATTTTGTTCTGTGCAACAGACAGATAGTTGCTATAATTTTCAAATAAATAATTAGGATTTATCTGGTCAAATAAAGCTCAATAAATAAATCTGTCCATCCATCATTAGTGATCTAACCAGTTCCAAACATCGTGTATCAGTTTTTCATAAAACAAGCTGACAAAACTGACAAAAGTTATTTTCTTTATGTCACCATTGTTTGTCACAGAGTTAGTTTATGTTGTGAAGGCTGCATGATGTCAT